CACACCCACACCCACACCCACACCCACACCCACACCCACACCCACACTCACACCCGTACCCGTACCCACACCCTCGGGTGATTCCCTCGTTAGTTGAATGAAAAGATTATATCTTTAAAAAGAAGGAAATCTTCTAGATTCGATTTTGTTTTTGTTGTATATTCTAGGTCTATTGAATCAATTTCATTAATGAGTATCTTTTCTTCAACTATTGCTAATGATTTTATTGAACTTATCCGTGAACATCTATTAAATATTATTCCAAGTGATTTTGAATACATCGAAATATTTCGTTTATTATTGGAAACAGTAGTAAATTTAGAAAAATATTTAATTGAAATAAAATTCTTTTCGTCTACTCAAATAACTAATGTACTTTCATCTGTTATTGGAAATATTGATGAATCAATAATAAAAAGTCGGTGTCGAACATATTTAATTCAAAGTCGAGAATTACTTCAATCAAATGCAATTATTACAACATCATTAAAAACAATTGAAATTGGTGATAATGAACAATTATTTATACAAAATGAACAAGATAAAGAAAAATATAAAAATCAATCCGCATCAAATATTTTATCATCAACTATTAGTCTGGATGAATTAGATGCAAATATGTTTCGATTTCCACGTACAATTATTGTGTAAGAAATATATAAACCAAAACAATTGAATTTATTCTTTTTTCTTTTAAGGGAACACGCTTATGAATATGTGCAATTTGTTCGAAAAATTTTAGAAGAAGCAAATCAATTGGAAAAATATGGTGCACATCTTTGTGCAACAGCAAGAAATATGATGGAATTATTTCATATTATATATGCAAATTTACATGAGAAAAAAGCACAAGAATTTCCTTACTTGACTGGTAAAGATTAATCCAATCCTAATATTCATCTAGTAAAATAAATATTTATTTCGATTTTAGCTTTACATTTCAATACTTATATGTACGTTGCACATGAATGTCTTATTCTTGGTGAAGAATATTATCATTTAAAATCTAAAACAGCTGATGGTCAACCAATAACATTCGTTGATTATGTTGCTATATTTCGTAATCAAGCAGCAAATTTACTTAAATCTCAATTAGATACTCAAAAAGATACATTAACATCTTTTATTCGAGAAATTGGAAGTATGAAATAATAATTTTTTCTTCTTCTAACAAATAACTTTTTATCTAACATAGCATTTCATAATATTGTTGATGAAACTGAAAATCAAGATCTATTAAAACGAGCAATCAATAAATGTATAATGCAAATGGAAAATCTATCTCATAATTGGCGTGATGTATTTTCACCTCATGTTTATTTTAAAGTTATTGGTAAGAAATTAAATACACAAAAAAAGTTTTTTTAATAGTTATTTTTTTTGAAAATAATTTAGGATATTTATGTGATCATATTAGTCAACTTCTTATTAAAGAAACTTTATCACTTGAAGATATCCCACAACAAGAATGTGATGTAATGGTGAAAGCTTTTACACAATGGTCAACATTTTTACAAAACATACTTGTTAAAGATGATCTTAGTCCTGGTTTAAATATTCTTGCACGCTTAGCACCAAATTTAACAAGATTCACTGAATTATGTATTGTTTTAGATAGTCCAATGCAAACAATTGTTGACCGATGGTTTAATGGTCAGGGACCATTGGCTAGTCAATTTGCAGCGATTGAAATTAAACAACTTATTCGTGCTCTTTTTCAAACATCAGAAAAACGAACAGCAGCTCTTGCTAAAATTCAATAAAAAAATTTTCGTTCTTATATATATATGTGTGTGCGTTTCTTTTTTTGTTTATTTGGGGGGAAGAATGATCTTATTCCTTGTATTTTCATAAAATTATTCTTTTTAAGATAAAATATGGGAACTAATCATGCAAAAACTCGAAGTAAAAAAGGTGTGGTATATACAAAAACAGATAATGAAATAGTTGATTGTTTATTTTGTCGTATTGCACGTGGTGAATCCCCACCTAATGCACTGTGGTATTCTGATGATAAATGTTCAGTTTTCATTCCGAGAGGTCCAGCTGCACGATTGCATTTATTAGTAGTACCATTAGAACATATTCAAAATATTTCTACGCTCACAGAAGAACATAGACCATTACTTGAACATATGAAAAAAGTAAATACAAAGATATTATTTATCTAGTTTTTGAACGATTTGTATTTTTGTAGGTAGCGATCGAACAATTACGTGTTCATTCTCAACGTATCGGCTCGACTAAATTCCCACTTTTATTACCTCGTGCGCCGCCGCCATCTCACTATTTATTTAATCGCGGAAATCTCTTATCACTATCTACATCAACGGACACTCCGAAAGATGATGACACATCAATGGATTCGTCATTTGTTTTTTGTTTTCATCGTCCACCCTATAATTCAATAGATCATCTTCATTTACATGCAATTCAAAAACCGTTTCAGAATCTCCGGAATTATATTATGTTTGCACCAAAGTCTCCGTGGCATGGATCATTAGAGCATGTACTTCGTGATTTACCTTCAGCAAAAGCTAAATTGTAATTTTCATACTTTTATGCTTTACTAAAACAAATACTAATATAAATATAAATAATATTTTTCGTCAGCCATTTCGAACTTGATATAAATACATGGCATAAATGTTCTTCTATTCAACTTTTGTTTTCACCAAAATTTTTATCTTGTGAGCTGTTTTATATTGACCCAGAGGGTAAGATTACAAGGAAAAAGTTCTGTATTATACAGTATTTTGATATATTTGTTCAGCTACAAGCACATTAAATGTATCCAATTATGGTTTTTAATTTTTATTGTTTATTATGAAAAAAAAAAGAATTAATTTGATTTTTGACGATTGATAATTTCATGAATCCAATCAATATAAGCTGCTGTTTTAGTAAATACTGTTGGATAAGCTTGTTGACCACATCCAATAGCATAACTAACTACACCAGCAGCATACCAACGACCATTCTTAAAATAGAGTAAACCACCACCACTATCTCCTTGGCATGATCTAAATAGAAATTTATATTTCATACAAATGTAGAAAATTTTAAAAACAAACAGACTAACCCATGATCTTTATCAGCAGAACCATTATGAGCAGTACAAATTTGATTTTGTGGTTGATAAGCAAAATACATTGAGCAATCAGAAATAACACGAAGTCGTGCTTGAAGTAGAATTGGACTTGAAGTATCCCACATTTGATGGACAGTATTACCCCAACCAGCAACATAGACAGTTGCGTCAAGTGGTGGTTCGGCCATCTATAATAAATAAGAATTGATCTTAGATATAAGACAAAAAAAACAAAACAATAATTTTTCTATACTAACATTATCAACAAGACAAATTGGT